GACTCACACTGTGTCATATTCAATAGCAGTATTCAAGATGAACCTCCTCATTTAGGAGATTAAATTCTTTTTCATTGCTTTTCTCCCTATTTTTCTTTTTTCAAATCTACAGTAAAATAACAGTGGACTGGAGGCCCTGGGTTGTATAAGAAAGCAGAATTAACTCCCAAAGTCTTGAGTGAGATTCAGGTACAAGAAACATTTAAAACTTCAAATACACATGACCATAGACGTGCGCTGCCAGACATCCTATGCTTAGGCGGTTATGCCGTGCAAGAGGGAAACATCAATATTTAAAGGCAAATACACTAGACTAACGACAAATTTCTCAGAGGAACTCCATGCCAGGAAGCTGTGGAATGATGTACTTAGGGTTCTGAAAGAAGATAACTGCCAACCAAGATTACTGAACCTAGCAAGGCTCTCCTTCACAGCTGATAAATGAAGGGAACTCATGGCCAGTAGACCAGAATTACAAAAGATGCTGAAGAGTATTCTATATCCAGAGGGAAAAGACCCTGGCAAACCCCAACACTGAGAATGTGAATAAATCCCGTGAGAAAAAGAGATGCAACAAGGAGGAGTAGGAAATAAATACTACTAATACAGTAAACCGTTTACCTTGTGAATACAATTAAGAGAAAATAAGCAAAACCAATGCTACTTGAAGAAAATCCAAATGAGATGTCAACATAAATGCCAGGTGTTGGAATGGCACTTAATTTTATAAAAATAAAGGCTACCTGACAAAAAAGGAGGCCCCAGAGTAACCGTGGTGACCTTTGACACCGAGAATAACTTTCTGCACCTTGAGAAAGGACCCAAAATTCATGTGAGGGCATGGAAAGACCCGAGAAAGCCAAGGAAACCTAAGAAAAACCATGCTGGGCAAAAACAAAGGCGAATACTTCAGGCCGATTTGCTGGATAATGCTTCAAAGGTAGAGGGCAGAAGAACTGGCACCTGGAATCACACATGGGTAGGGTTCCAAGGACAGACAAGGAAATCCTCTGGTCCTCCAAAGCGGCTCAAAGCCACAGCATGCTCTGTGAGAGAAAAAGCCAGGCGTTGGCTGGAAGAAGGAAAGCCAAAATAATGCAGTCACCGCAATCAGAAAAGCAAGCCCAAGAAGAGAAAAAAATATACAACTGGGCCTCCAGGGGAAATGGAAGGTTGGGGTTTTTGGTACCTCAGAGTATTAGAAGATAAAAGAAAACACCATTCTCATCCCCAAAACAACCACAAAAGGAGTCAGCACACGTTTCTGAAGGAAGAAAAAAAAAAAGTAAGATTCAAACCAAAGATGAAGAGTAAAATGACAGACCGTGAAGCCTTACCAGTCATTGTCACTCATGAGGTTCCCAGCTGGGTTAGACCAATGGCGACTTCCCACTCCACCCCCCGCAGCCTGCATAGCACCTTCCTTGTCAGTACCAACTTGGATTTTTCCATGTCCCCTACCACTGTTTGTGATGTGTTCAGGAACAGGGTCTAAATCATCAAGATCTGGTGGGGAAATGGCAATAGTGTGCACTGTTTGGGGTCCACAGGACATCTCTGACCAACAGCTGTGAGGTGCATCCCAAACCTGTTGCTGGGCTTTTTATCTGGGAGGAGCTTGGGGGATATGGAGGTAGGGGTGGGTCGGGAAGGAGCTGGGAAGGTGAAGTTAGGGGTGGATCTGGGAGGGTGGTGGATGATGATAGGGGTTGATCTGGGGGAAGTTAGGGGTACATGTAGGGAGGGGATCTGGAAGGAGCTGAGGGTGTAAAGCTAGGGGTGAATATGGAGGAGCTGGGGGGACATGGAGGCAGGGGTGGATCCAGGAGGAACTGAGGGGGATATGGACATGTAGATTATGGAAGAATTTACAATTCCCTCCAATTGTCTTCTAAAATGTTCATGCATTTTAACCTAAAGCCATAGCCTTTTGCTATGACACCAAGATGTAAATCTTCAGTTGCCTTACAGATACCTGCAGGTTCCTGGAAAAAGTTCTGCTGCTGTATCAAAAACAGGTCTGCAAACCTG